GTCATTAATTATAATTTTAAAATATGCAGTCTGCCTCGATTAAAATTTTACGATTGCCCCTTACGGATTATTGGGAAGGATAATTAATAAATTGTATCCTGCAATCAACCAATTTTAATTATTTCTTAACAAATGCGCCTTGACCTATTTGTTCTAGCCGAAAAATCTTCTTTTAAAACTCGTTGACTATATTTTTGTTCTGAGATGAAAGGATTGCTCACGAATGTTTCTGTGCTATGTAGGGACGCGGGCTCTCTGTTTTACTTCCCCTGCTAACAAGGTTTTACTGTGAAGTGGAATTAGGTACGATGCAACCACCGACAACTTTCTTTGGCCCTTTTTAGATGGACAGAAAAAGCAGGCGCCATTCAGACGTCAGCGGATGGAAATAGAAAGTCTCCTTTCCGATTGCCCTTCAGGAAGAAGTAGGGTGCAGGATGAAAACAATAATGGCTGCCAAGATGCACCTTCGCCCTCTTATTGCTGTTCGGTTGCTCGCTACTGGGCAGAGACTGGAAAGACGCAATCACCAGAGGTGAGATTCCGAATGGAGTAAAAACTGTAAAACTCCACGGTGAATATTCGTTCGAAAAACGTGCGTTCTAAACAGTTGCTTGCCCTGGAACACATTGTGCATAAAGCGAATGTAAGGATCGAATTTTTGTTCTGTTCGGGTGCTCTATTATCCAATTTCTGCGTTATTTCTCTAAGCCTGTCTCAGAACATTTTTTCGACGCATGACTTCTCCTGCTGCCAAGGCCATTTATGCGTGGCAGTAGACCGACATATTGGAGGTTTAGTCTTATTTTTTGTTTTTAGACCATCATAGAAGGAAAACCCATATTTCAAAGTAATTTGGCCTAATAAATCAATTGTGGTTGCAGCTGCATTGAAGTAGTCGCTTATGAACACATCTAGTGTATCCCTTACATTTAGGCTTGACTATGACTTGACTATGCGCTTAGTTGACCTATTCTAATGGAATCTTGTGTGTTTCTGTTTTTAGACTATTAATGTACTAGAATCGACACTAAAACGCTGTCACGAGCTAGAGGAGGAGATCAAGATTCTGGAAGAAGACAAAGATTTAAATTCAAAAAAATTGGTTGCCCTTGAAAAACAGGTTAATTTTCTATTTTTCTATCATGGATTTATCTTTTGATTTTAAAAAGACACAAATAATTTGACCACAGCCTCTTTAAAAGACGCAAAGCATTGTGTTTATGGGACTTTGGGACCTTTAAATCGTTGCAGTGAGAGACCCTTGAAAGCCTCTAACATAACCTGTAGTACAGCGACTAAAACTCCTGACTTTGTGATTCTTTGAGAGCGCGTTCGTTTTCTTGAAGGTTAATTTTCAGGACACTTTCTTTGCCGTCATATTTAGCTACTTTCGTTCGCTCTTTGTTTTCTCATCGTATCCTCGGAGCTCTTTCAAACTTTATTTTCATCCTTACCATGCGTAGTTGCAGTTGCGGGATTCGGAAATCAACCGTCTTCGTCAACTTGTCGAGGGCGGACGACCTTTTGAGGCCATGCTTCTTGATGACAAGCGTCAGCAGACCGGCAGTTTTGCCAAACAATTGCAACTTCAGGTTGAGCTACTACAGGCTCGAACAGAGGATCTAGAACATCGCCTGCGGAGACAGAACATCAATTCTAATCAAAACGGAAGTCAAACGATTGTGGGGGTCGAAGGTCACAAGGTGCAGGACAAGGCCTCAGAATGCCACATTTTACCATATCCGAATGATATGCAGGTAGGATTTACCTCTGTTCTCTCTGGCCGGCTCTCATGCGTCCATATATATATATATATATATATATATATATATATATATA